TATATATATATATATCAGCCTATCTGCATATATAATAAAATAGGCATATAAAAATAATATAGTCTTCTATATGTACCGTACGGTATGTTTACACTCTCGTTTTTTGGTACCTTAGCAACAATCTCCAAGGGGCGGGTCTTAGTGAAAAGGTTGATTGCGTTATTTTATGAAATAGTGGGGAAGCCATGTAGTATACAAGCGATAACTGCCTGTCTTTACTGTTTGCGTTATTTTTAGTGATGCAATATAATGACACATACATTATATATTGCGTAAATCAACGCAAGATGGGCATAAGCAAATGCTGCCCTTGGCTTTTATATCAAATAATCTCACGTTGTTATGTTCATAATACGTGCGTGACTGAGTAGCATAATTGGGCCGAAGCGTCGATAACATAGTAATGTACCTATTAAACAGTTAAGAAATCGATCGTCTGGATAATTGTGCAAGTCCTAATTCCATCTAATTAGCACATTAATTATTAAAAAGTTATTCTATAAAATGTGTCGTTTTGAGTCAGAATTAGTTAGACCCGTCGCGGGGTAATATTTTAAGGGATATGCAAGTTTATAAATGGTTATAGTGTGGAAATACGTGGTGTAACTTGTGTAACTTATTATTAAAGTCAGGCTCCGGAGGAAAACATTTGTTGATATGTTGTACAACTGATTTTTGTAAGGCACAAAAAACATATCTGACAAAAGTGGAAAAAAGTGCGGTTACGCCCTTTTTCCTCCAGTTTTCAAACATTCAAAAATCTGTATCTCATTAACCACTCACAATGTTTTTGTCAAATGCTTTTTTGTTAGAAAAATCATTTTGTACAAATCAGTTGTACAACATTTAAAAATTGTTTTCCTCCTGAGGCTGACTTTAAGCTTTCACGTACATGTATTTTCTCACGTGTAATCACAATATCGCACAGGTTGCGCACTTTTTTGATGTGACGTATGACCGGCGAGATGACCTTTTATCGGTGAAGTACAAACTTCCTTGAGACAAAATGTTTGATAGTAAAATTGGTAAAATATAGCTTGGAGAATAATGACCTTCTGCATGTTTTGAATGTATAGGCCTAAGTGAGTAAGTTACCGGATGTTCTGTAATACGATATAAACAACAGAAAAAGAGTAGAAAACCACACAAGAACAATTAAATTAATTCGTTACCTTACATCTCTGGTTTTATTCGAAAATACATAAAGAAATGGTATGTAAATGCAAAACTTTAAAAAAAATGAAAGGTTTAATCATGTAAATATATGATATTTTGAATTGTATTCTTTGAGAATGAGAATAGAATTGTAAACCCTTGTCCAGAATGTAACATTTATAAAATGCCTAAACATGGTCATGATGACATCACACCATGAACATATATAGGCACATCATGACTATATATGGGCATATCATGACTATATATGGGCATACGACAGTTTTTGTCAAATAAAATTTGATAGTGTGGACGGAGCTTAATTGAGTAAAGATATTAAAGGAAACATCGGTTTCAATAGAATCGCTCATCATCCTATCGGCGACAGTCGCCGCCAGTTGTCGTAAAGGTTGAACCTGGTTCAGCTTTGCCGATTGCGTTGCAGACGAGTCAGGGTGCATTGCTAGTTGCCCCGACGCAATCGGGAAGGCACCCCCGATTCGTTTGCAACGCAATCGGCAAAGTCAAACCAGGTTCAACCTTCCTGACAACTGTCGGCGACTGTGTAGCCATAGGGTGAGCGGTTGTATGGAAACTGAGATTTACTGTAGTAAACATTTTTTGAACCGATAAACAACTTTGGCAGTGGAAACAGGGTCTTACGACGACTGGGACACAATGTCTTGGGCCCAATTAAGCGAATTAAAGGACAATCATCAATGGTATGAATCGAACTTCCTGAATTTGTTTAGATTGTGTGGTGTTTGTATTCAGGCTACAGAAATTACCAGAATCCCTAGAAAAAGAAGGTCAATGCCCCTGACCCGGATGTCTTGTTCCCTGGAGAATTGAATAATTGCTTGGTACATCACCCTGCTAAATGTTCGTTTCGGTACAAAATGGTGTGTGATGTGCTGTATGTCAATGAACTTCACAAGCTTTGGTAACAATACTGTAACGTTAGGAACAGAACGGTAAAGTTATAGACAACGTGGTATATCATCTTATTTCATGATATTTGCCATCTCGAAAACAATGGAATGCTGTGAGCTTAAAACCTTCAGCCGTGCCCATCCATGTAATAAAGGAGAGATCGTCATTCTCTTTGTTACCAATATATTAATTGTTGAAAGTAATTAGCTTTTAAGAAGCTAATACTAATGCGGAAGAACAGTTCTGAAGTCACGTGGAAGTCACGTGATAAAGTGGCATGCTCACGTTTTATTCACGTGATTTCATATTTCCAAGCGTCCAGCAAACGCGCGCGTCTTCATAAACATAATTTGATATTTTTATATCTCCATGGTCTAAGCGAGAGCCAATACAGTATAATACCTTTCTAGACTGTCAGTCAAACTTAATTGACCAATCAAAGGGTGCTTTTAAGGTTATGAATACGCGTATGTCCCACAAACACGCAAGTTCACGCGCGTTTACACTGTCGTTTTCCGGGGCATAAGCAACAATAATAGAAGGGCCAGTTACAGTGACAAATATTAAAATTATTGTTACCAAAGGATCAATTCAAACCCAATTCTAACGTAAAAATATGTGATTACAATAATAACTTCTCGAAGCCATTAATTTCTTTAGAGCTATAATATCATGACCTTTATATACGGATCAATAATGAAATGGAGATCATACTTTACGTTCCATTCCTACTGATTACCGACATTACCAACGATTGTTTCTTTTGCAGAGGAAAATTGAATACCTAGTGAAGTGGAAAGGATGTTCCGTTAAGTAAGTATTCATGGCAAAACACGTGTTATTATTGTTTATGATTAACTTATTACTTAAAATATCGAACTAGATTGTAACAACAGATAAATTAAATACTGTTAGACTTAAACTATATTGTTTCCGTACTGGTACTCTAGTATACGACAATTTTGAAGACATCATGTCTTCTTGACTAAATATTTTGAAATAGATAGAAACACATTTATGATAATAGCCATAGTAATTTATAGGCATATTTATAGTTGTTATAATATGTAATTATTAGTTATAGTTATTATTATTATTTTCGATGATTACGGTACTGTTGAACTTGTTATTGTTGATTATTATTGTCATCTTCATAATGATTATTGTGTTACTGTCTGTTATTGTTATTATTGTTATAGGCCTACATTGTAATTATAGTTTATTTGTTTGTTTTAATTATTATTATTATTAATATCATCATAATATTAGGGCATAAAAGTACTAACATACACATGGACGATTCAATCGGATACCAATACAAACAGCGTGTTGCCATTTATGATGGCTCTAGGGAACAAGTCTCGCTAAGCCATGTTATTACCAACTATAACGTTTCATATTTTGTATCAACACCTTAATTTCCACTGTGTATTCGACTATCAAACTGAAAAGAAAGCCAAGATAGCAATGATCGCACCGACAGTTAAAAATAACAATGTTAATTTTCCCTAGATGATTAATTCGCAGCCTGGTGATTTGTGAGGGTCTTTTTTCGCCAGGGTAGCGAAATCATTGCAAACACGTTGCGATTTAGAATCATAAGACAATACTGTAACACAATTACCGAGTACCGTAATGTTTTGTTGCGTTTTGCCGCGAATAATGTTTGGCAAACAGCCAAATGTATATTGCTATGTGAGTTGTCTTCATCTGGCAACACATCGTGTAGCCTTGGTGCATAAAGAGACAACACAATAAGAAATTGTCCAAACTTAATGAATATTTATGCTGTTGTATTTCGGAGAGACATCCTTTTTATGGTGCGTACTTATAAAATATAACGCATAGTAGAGGATTAAGGCTCAGGGATCAGTGAAAACTAATCGATCTCAATGAATCGCCCGTTAATAATATGTTTTGATCTTGACAAATGTATCTATAATAATCCAACGTTGCCTGCTTTTACTCTACAAATCACTTACGCCCTTTTCATCTTTATTCTCATTCTTTATTTTGAATTTGGCATCAATTTTAATAGGTCAATCAAAGAATCATCAACCAACCGTTAAATTTTACGGAAAGAAAAGTGTTTGCTTAATTTAGTCGAAGTTATTTCCCTTTATTAATACGGTTCGTCAATCGTTTTACCATATACAGTACAATTAGGTCATGACTGATGAACATATATTGAAATACCGACTTTTAATATTATTTTGTTAAGTGGTTTTATAAATTCATGTTGGCACCACGTCATAACTCTCCTTGTCTTTCTGTTGGGGGTGTGGAGGGGGGTTTACGATAGCGCACCATCTTTCGGATGACACGGTGCAAAATGGCCCGTGTTCACGTTGAAGAATGCAGTACATTCTTTGAAAAAGAAAAGGGGGATTGAAAAAGTAGGGGATTGTCTCCCGGTGTGCAGCCAAATGACCACCTGGAGGACCCCACTGGAAATAATTCTTACTCAGACTTTCGTGGGTAATCCTTGGTGTTTACCCCGAATAAATCCAGGTGGCATTGACTAAACGACAGGTTAAAAAACAACAATGAAATTGTCGTATGTTTAGAGACAACAAATATATTTAAAAAGCCACTTTTTTGCATTTGGAAACCTTGATATTTTGTCTTTAATGTTTTATTATTGTCCTTATCTTATATTTGGTTATACTATTAACCTAATTAACTTATTGTTTTTAATGTGTTCTTAGCATTTCTTGGTAGAGGGCACTGTAATAAGACTATTGGATAATATTATTATTTTAAGTTTTATTATAATCAGATATACATATATATATATATACTTTTTTTAATCAATAGAGCTAGCACATGGGAACCGGAAACGAACATACTCGATCCCACTCTGATTAGAGAATTTGAAGACAGGTAAGCCAGTGTAATTATAGAATTTATGAATTACAGTATTTCCTTGAATGTGGCGAACTTATTTTGAAGTCGTAATAATATTATCCTCTCTGTTTCGGTCGCTCCTCTTTTATGTTTTGTTTTGAAAGTTTATATGATTGTGGTTTTCGGAGTTTTTCCCCCTTTGGTTTACGTTTTTTGCATATAAGGAAAAACAGTTTACGACCTAAACGCCTAACAGGTACTTTAACCGTGCAATAAGCAACGTTTTCTCAAAATCGAGAGAATTTATACGTTTTTTACTTTTACTTTACGGCTATAAACTACTTCAGGGTTACTCACAATATTTCGATGATTGCGATGTACTTACACGTACACCTGGCCTATAGGTGTATAAGTTTCGTGCGTTTAATTACCTAATAGGGCTACCCAAAACAAATTTTGTTGCGATGTACCGGTACTTAAATTGCTGTATTACTGGCCTAAGATATGAACTGTAGACACCAGATAAAACAGAGAATAGAAAAAAGGCAAACAAACAACTGACATCATTAGATAATTGCATAGAAACTGTGTAATTGAAAACGTCGGTCCAGTACAATAATTTTGTTTAGTGGAAATTATAATGCGACCATTGTTAATGCAGTGAATTTACAGGTGACTGGTTCTATAACGAGAAGATGTAATATGTACAGTAATATGCAAGACTTAGACGAATGCAAGATAATAAAATAAATAGTAGACCTAAAATCAATCAAATTGAGAACGAATTTGGTAGCCAGCCAATAACTCTGCTCTTGTCATCAGTTCACCGGTCTATCGTCTTCAGGCTTCCCGCATTGTATGTGCCAAAATGCACAATGCCCTGGCTTCCGTCGTCTGTTGTCGTGCGCTACAGTGTGCCAAAAAGTTTCCTTCAAGATGCACAGTATTTCTGCTTTGACAGTTATGATTGCTGTCGCTAATGGTTCCCATATTATTCACGAAAATAAGAATTCTTGATTGCTTATTTAATAAGCTCCATAAATATTATTTGATTATATACATACATTATAACTGTAATGCTGATATCAATGGCGGATGATGTTGGTGATCGTAATGATAATGATGAAGGCGATGACGATGACGACAATGATGAAATTAATGATGGTGATAATGAGAGAAGATGATTATGATGATGATGATGATGATGATGATAATTGAGGAGAAAACAGTGTTTTAAGTACCTTCCGTAAAAGGCACCAAGAAATAGGTAATCACCCGCTCTCGATCTTTCCAATTGGACGCCAGCATAAAGCTCACACGCGACCTAGCCGCGCCAGATACGCCATCATACACATAGCTTGGGGTTGAAAAGATAGTGCCTATTCACGGCTAAAGCATTGTAAAGCGCAGATAATTATGATGATTTTTCTTGAATTCCAATTTTTGTTGCTGTTTCTCATACATTAGCATGACGTAGTTACAGATGCAATGTTAATGTTACGACTCGATGGCTCCAATGTTGCAGCGGTAAATATACCGTATAAGACTGCCATGAATATATGGCGCTATACTTTTGTGAATCGTTCCCCAGGCGGCTGTTGCACGATCAAGAGTGGGAAACGAAGAATATGCAATGCAAGGAGAAGGGTTATGAAGATGACGTCATGGGTTTTTTTTGTGACAAGAACGTGATATTTAGGAGGCATCCTAAGAACATTCAGTATTCACAGATATTGTTTTGTTCGAGTCTTAATAGACTTCGTGGGTGCTGGATGTCTTTGATAGACACTTTGCGGTAATAATCTGGAGGTAAATTTTTACTTCAAGCAGCGTAGCTCAGCAGAATATTAAATTGGTGGTACACGTGGTCACGGTCAGTGCGCCGTATGAGATCTTTGGGTTCCTGGTTCGAGCAGTCGCTACCTGTACTCGTGTTTCAGCACGAGTGTGCTTTGTTGCAAAATAGCACACCGTCTTACGAGATGGATCGTTGGCTCGACATGCTCAATAACTCTGTAGGTTTACACTTCGGATAGAAGGTATATTGGATTGTCTTCTTTTGTACAGACAAAATAAATTAAATGGGATTAGGGGATGAGGTGGCAGTGTACCACCAGAAGAAGAATGATTTTTCCAGTTCACATCCGGCTTTGAGCCAGTCCCTTATAAACCAGGTTGAGATTTTAGTGTGAAAACACCACATAAATGCAAACTACTCGCCTAGATCGACCCCCCAACCCTTACACCACTAATGGTACCAGATACCATGGAGGTAGCCTCTTGGCCCAAGAATAGAGTTTTATAGAGAAAGGTCATTGTGGCGTTGGTGACTCAATGGTCGTGATTCTCTATCTATCATAGTAATTATACAAGTGACACTCTCCAAACCATGATACTGCAACATTTCTAGTGATTAAATTTCGATTTCGTGGAAATAATGTTGTGTACATAGTGAGATAACAACAGTAACGCCTCGTGCAAAAATCGACACGGAAGCTCGAGGTTGTGTTGTGTGCGCATACGTATTATTATTATAGTTATTCTAATAGAAAATTGCCTTGTTCAAGCCCACAATAATCACGCACGTAGATGCACCAATATTTAACCACCTCCGTGATCAACACAGGGCCTTAGAGTAATACTAGTATAATAGGCCTAAGTGTCTAAATAATGCCTCTATAGAGCAATTTGCCACAACACCTGAATGAAGACGAAACTTTGGCCTGATGACGTTTAATCATCATCAAGGCAATGGACGGCGCAGGCTCATAAAAATGATTCCGTGAAAAACGACCGAATGTCATTCAATTTAATGATGTTTTATTCCCCGTAGAGTTGTTTTCTTGAGCTTATGGTTTGATTAGCATTAGGTAAATATAATTTGATTCGATTGGCAATGATAATAACCTATCGGATTATACAGTGTGCGTTTTGGAAATTGTATTCAAAACGAAATTAACGAGTATGGTGTTAACCAGTGGTTGACGTACATACTCGAACTAAAGTGGCGGCTAATTGATGTATCAATTATTAAAATTTATGTGTGACCTAAAAGACGTTAGCATAATAAAATAATATATATTCTCTTGGCGTATTCCAAGGTTTAAAATGCGCTTCAAGCTATTATCTCTGGCCTGTTGGATTATACTCCTATGGAACACGTTATGCATCTCCTTGGGAGAGTATCGTTACAGTATCAGAACTATTTAATTTAGAAATACGGTATACCCTACAGCAAAATGCCTACTTCTGGGGCCGGAGAGGAGACAACCATCAATCGATACCCAAATAAATCGGACCCGGATCCCAGGCTCGAAACTTCAAAGCCTTAACACTATTTGCTTCAAGTTCCTGTGAAAAAAAAAATTGTGTGAATTGTCCTTTATATTATGTGCATGGTGATGTCATATCGCATCCATATTTCGGCATAATGACGTCATATCGCACCATACATAGGAAAATCACATGTAGGCCTATATGATTTCACATTGAATTTGATAGTGTTGAAACCGTTACACTACATCACCAGCGGCTGTGCACATCAGAAAAATATTTATATATTCTTTTTCGGTTGTCATAGTTATAAGTTCATGGATTGCCAAAAAATCGATATAAAGAAATTGCTTTCATTATAAAAGTGTAATTCGTATTATAGATTCGAAAATTGTAGTTTCTCTTTAAATTTGTATTGTTTAAATTGTAGAAACAGTTATACAAAGGTCGATGTACGTATTATGGAGCCATACACTTGTTTAAATTTATCGCTGAGTCGCGAAAATTAAAAATGTGCTTGCAATGCTTGTAATAAATTTTCAAAATATGTGTGTAGGCGAAATTGACACAGTGTGTCACGTGGGACAATCGTAAACTCATCGATAAAAATAAGGTTTTCGAACGTTAACGTGTCGTAGCTTTATATATACAAATGACGTCATAGGTGCACCAATACTGTATAGGCCTATCTCCCATGTAGTGTAGTTATGCCAATGAGGTACTTTATTCGCATTCTTCTTGGTTACGTTAAGCATTGGTAGAGGCGCATAGACATATCCTTACTTTATTTTATTTATAAAATAAGGTATTTATGCCTCCATGGTCAGCATTAATGTCCACACGTTGGTAATTTTAGGCCAAAAAAAATCGTTTTTGGAAAATCCAAAAATAGGTAGGTCGGTACTAGTAGGATTTTTTTTTTTTAACAACCCGATATATGTTTACATCCAAAAATTACACCTAGAAAATACACAAATAATACAACAATTTTGGATTCGCATCATCCAGCAAAATAGGCTAGCCTTGGCCCCCTACCCTCGCCAAGGTTATTCCAGCCTTATTTGCTCATAAAAAATATTGTTCGTTGTCGAACTAAAAAGCCGATTATTGTTAGTTCGTTAGTGTTCGAAAGATTTCATCCGCTTTGTAGTGTGTACTGCCGGGGATTTTTGTTTCTGTTCTTTGTCGGAATGAGTTGCGGGAGGGGGAATTCATGAATCCATGGACTACACATTGCATTGATTTGATATATTGTTGCTGTTTCCAATTATGACATTTAAAGAAGACATTGGTTTTGAATCATTTGATTACATAAAGATCCCTGGATTTAGGTCTATCAATAAGCTTCCTTGATGCTACTCTGTTTCAATTGAATTAAGTAGTGCTTTAATGTGTTTTATATTTTCTCGTTAGATTACAGCTAAGCTGGGCTCAGCATAGAAGAGGACGAAAACCAAAGTTAACACAGAGCAAGGTTTGTCAATAATTTACTTTAGAAATCAAGGACAAAAAACTCTATACGTACAGTAATCTGAACTACCTATCATTTATATGCCAAATAATAAGAATTAATAATGTAATTGTTGGTGATAATGATATTAATGGTGGTGTTGTTTTTAAACTAATTAACCACAAATTCAATCATTGACGCTTTTTCTCCGTAAGACCATGTGTATTTTATACATACCGGAGTCTATACTTAGACTTCCGTGAGCTACAAGGGCGATGACGATGTTATTAAGGGTGACAGATAGAGACACCTGTTAAATTTTTTCTGTCATCATTTCATACTGCCCTAATACAATAATACATCCTGCCCCTTTATCAAATATAAAATATGAAAATTTAAAGAGAAAAAAAAAACCGAATTGCTTAATTGTGATAAGTTATTAGAAAAACATTAGGCGCGCGTTTAAATAAATACTATTCTAAGATCTTGCAATACCGGTATATAAGTTTCTGTCAACAAGTTTAAGGAGTTTAGTAGTAAATTGAATAGGTCATTAAAAACTTCCGAAATTGCGGCTCCGTTCCCCTTCACCTCAACTCAGGCCTACTTTATTGATAAAAAAAAAATCAGAAGTAGGCATAGCCCCTCAATCAAGAGTTGCTGATCAGGATGTTAAGAGTGGCGCCACTGGGGGATAGATCGCCTTGTGGACCCCTCTGGGTGGGATCTGAGCAGCCACTGACCACGACCACGACCACTGACCACGACCACTTTCACTCCCGTCAGGGACATGCTCCCTTTTGGAGACATTGCAGCCCACTCCCTCTTTGTCCGGGATCTCCCCTTACCCGTCGGGGAGATTCTGAAGCCACATTCATGATAGATTATGACATACATTATATAAAATAATTAGGCCTAGATACATTCGTAGAAGGGTGAGTCAGTTACCGATGAGTGGACACACTGAGGTTAACAGGCAACAGGAAAACGCGGGTTGGCAACCTAACAAGATGGATATCATGATAAATACTCTTTGAGAACAAGCAGAGGTGAAATTGGCAAATTATCAGGAATAAAGAAGTCTTTGCAGATCAGCAGTTATTTATATTAGAATCATTTTGACATTAAGGTAGCCAACACTGCACAAAGCAGCGTCTAGACAGATGAGGCGTATTATTACAATCCACCCACCAGTCAAGTCCAATAAGTTGCGGACTTAATGTACAATTTGCTGATTTATGAAATTGCATAATGAAGAGTCAATTTAAAATGCGACACCATCCGTCGATAATCACATAGTGGGTCTAATGCGCTTGCGTCCACATTTTAATTCAGATAAAAGATAGTACATGTCCGGTTATGGACAATCTTTTAGTGACATAAAACTTGATGTATCGTACTTTTATTTCGGTCAGGGAGATGCAAGTTCTGTATTATAATATACTGTAACACGTACCGTACTTGGTTCGGTCAAGCGACCAATGTTACTCACTGGCCCTGACTTGGCCTACCACTGGCCCTGACCAATGTCCAGGCGTGGCACGTATTTCTCAGACATGTTCATAAGTTCGGTTATAAAAATGATATAGGCCTAAATGTAAAGAGTAAAAATAATTAATAAGAATTTTAACACATTAAAATAAGTAAACCTTGTTACCTGTTCCCTTAACATGCTATTTCTCAATTGTTAGTTCAGTCATCAGGGAGATGCTAGTATTATATAACATATACCTGGTTCGGTGAAACGACCAGTTACTTCCTGGCCGCGACCAATGTCCAGGCGTAGCACGTATTTCTCAGACGTGCTTAAATAGTTCGACAAGGACAGTGTTCGGTGTTATACATATAAATGTAAATGAGAGTGAAAATAATTATAAGTACACCTAGTTACCTGTTCTCTTAACATTTAACCGATTGAATTGATGCCCCTGATGACATAACTTCAAAAGTGTGGTTGTTACATGTTCCTTTCGATTTCAGTTTCTTAACTGTTAATGCCAAGGATATCGATATCCGCTTAACAATAATAGGCCCATAGCCTTATAAGCCAAGCTGCGGAGGAAAACAATTGTTGGTATGTTTTACAACTGATTTTTCTAAAGCTCTGTCTACACTATCAAATTTTGTGTGACAAAAAGTGTGATATGCCCATATATGGGCATGATGACATCACAGCATGACCATATATAGGCATAGCATTACTATATATGGGCGTGTCACATTTTTTTGTCAAAGTAAATTTGATAGTGTGGATAGAGCTTAAGACACAAAAAGCATACCGTATTTGACGAAAAACTCGGAAGCGGTGAATGAGATACAGATTTTTCAATTTAAAAACTGAGGGGTTTGGGGGAGGGAAAGGGGCGTAACCACTATTTTTCCACATTTCCCCCCCCCCCCAGTTTTCAAATATTCAAAAATCTGGGACCGCTCCCGATTTTTTCGACAAACATATTTGTTATGTCTTATAAAAATCAGTTGTACAACATATCTTGACAATTTTTTTAATCGAGGGTGGGTCGTCAAACACTAGAGTTACACTTAAGTGGACCATGGTATATGTGTGCACAGACACGCAGCCTCAGACTCGAATAGGGCATATCTAGGCCTATGGAGAGGCTGAAGCTGCATCCCTCCAAAATAACTTTCTCCCTCGCAGCCTCCCCAGAAGCGCTCATACTAGAAATATGCTGAACAAAAAACACACGCTCTGGTAGATAACTTCATACCGTATCACAGCAGAACGTGTGAAAAGCATCAAATACACATAGCGGGGTTTCGCTTCTTAACCCCTGGAGAGCTGTGCTTCCCCCCCCCCCCCGTTGTAGTAAGGTCCCTAAAGACACCTTAGCCAGGGGCGACACTTTTCTGACTTTAATGTATTATAATCAGTTCGTGTAGGCCTATTATAGTATCTTGTAATCCGATTATAGATTCGTGTATTAATACGCCTATTTTATTATTTTTAATGTTTTGATTCGTGCTATGTTGCTTCTATGACGCACTGCCTGTCAGATGTATTTTGATGAGCGAGTCATGACGTTTGTATTGATTTGGAATTTTTTATTTTATTTTGATATCCCTTAACAAAAGTAAAGTCATCATCGTAAAGCATACTGAATGAATAGTATCAATGCATTTTGAGCAATATCGCTATTCACCTTTTCTACCGCGAGTACCTGTTCAAATCGTGCATAGTTGATCTCGCATATTAAAATGAGACCCAATAACGCATACCGTAATCATACGGCCTTCGAAATACTGCCTACGCAACAGACAAAACAAGTCGAAATAATCGAACGTGTGACTTCAACATGTCAAATGAATAGCTAATGCAGGCCTAAAGCTTCTGCAAATAACAAGATACCGATTTATTGCAAACAACAATACGGTATAAGAGGCCACTGGAGGGATAAAAAAAAACGTGTCCACTTGTTTAATATCTTTAATACGAGCTTAGCCTGAAGGGAAAAAAAATTATTGTAGGCCAACCAGTTTTTCTGTAGGCTAGTCGATTTTTCGCGATATAAGGCATAATGTTTAAATCAACATTGTAGCGTATATAATAATGATAACTCCTTCACCTTCAACCTGAATAACAAGACGAATAACAATAGCACTACTAATTCAGTGTGCGAATTTTAAGAGTTCCACATGATTTATTACTAGTATATGGAGGGTTATAATGAAATAAAGCAATAGACCTACATTCAATGCTAATTAAAAATTATAAACCATGTTGCAAAACGCTCACTCGATTTTGTTGCCCGTTAAACAGTGCATTTTGTTTGAAGAAATGTACTATTTATTTATTTATTTATTCATTTAACACTTTTTTCACGACTAGCCGTAACGCAAAGGGGCCCCTTATAGTAACCAATGTCGATTTTAAAACCCCTAACAGAAAGTGGGTTTTAAAGGTTATGGCAATTCTCCCTCCCCCACTCTCCAGCAAATCATTCTTCCATTTACAATAAGCCACACTTCAAAAATGAAAAGAAAGTCATTCTCTCCTGGTGGATGGCTTTTTCTTACGAAAAATGGTGATAATGAAATTTGTTTTTGTATAACAATTACATTAAATAATTATTACATCTTTTGTAAATACTCTAAACCCAGGGACCCCGTGGGCCCATTTCCAGAACCCCCTGCTCCTCCTTTGTATAATGCTGACTACGGGCCTGTATTATGTAGACCTATGTCTCTTTTACCTGACGATGAAAATTATATTCTCATTCAAATTTTAGTTAACGGTGACCTATTTAAATAAAGTACGGTAAGGAATCAAAAATAATTAATTAAATTTTCAATTTTATAAATTCATCTAAAAGTGACAGCTAATTAGAAATAAGTTCGTCACATTTCTTTATCTCATTTCGATTAATAATTATAGGCGATCTCGTCTGTAATAAAAAAGATCACGAAATATCCGCAATATGAAATTTAATTTATATATTTTGATGATACGGCAGTTACACAACGCCTACACATTATGCATCAGCTGACCGTGAATAATGAAAATGGGTCGTGTGTTGACAGGTTACTCACTATAATTTTGCCCATTGATTGGTAGTGTTCTGATGGGCGTTGGGCGGGTCTGGCAACACCCTTATAGATTACCCGATGAATTACTGTGCAATTGTTGATCCACACAGTGATTCAGCCATTTACCGTGTCCCCAATACAATAATATAATATTTGTATATAGAACTTGAAAATTAACATTAAATAGTTAGAATCATGGTTGAATTACTTATTTTGTATTTTAAGTGAGTTATTAGTTTTCAGCAGTGGCGCAACGAAGAGGCCTGGGCCCTGGCTATTCGGCCCTACTCCAGCGTATGGGTAGCTCATAGGACGCAGTAGGGTACGAGACGTTTAAAGGATTGATTGGTAGTGTTTGGTTGAGCGTGTAGGGCGGGTCTGACAACATCCTTATAGATTACTCGATGAATTGCTGTGTATTGTTGTCCACACAGTGATTCAGCCTTTTACCGTGTCACGAATACAATAACATAATATTT